TGGTTTAGGACCCTTCAGCAGTACACACACACCAACAGGGTTTGAACCCAGGACCTTATGGTTACAAGGAGAGTGAGATCGTAGGCCAGTAGTCAGCCAACCCATGAATTCTAACTTCTGCCGATTCACAACAGACCGCGACCAATGAATCGGGTAACAGCGGCTCAATGGTAAACGAGATCACCGTGTAACCAAAATGTCCTGGTTTCGAACCTTGAGGTGGGTGCGTACTGATGAAGAGTCCAAATCCAGGACGAAACACTTGTGCAGTACTCCCGGGTTTTCCAGTGGTTCTATAACTGATGTCAGGTCATGACAATAGGGCATCAATTACCAGCTTTTAATTTCACACTTTCTATTTGATCTTCATGTCTCCTGTCTACAACTTAATTTTTTTATTTCACTATTCAAGCTTCTTACAAAAGATATTGTACCCTAATATACTACTGGTAAACTCTAGTTAGTAGTATATGACATAACACTAGTAGTAGTAGTAATAGCGGATAAATCGAACATTATTTGCAATAAAAAAGAAGCTTTCAATGCAGAATTCACCTGTTGTATCCTTAATAAGTATCACCGATGATATTCCTAATTGTGGTGGACTGGATTACGTGGAAGACTGTGTGGAGGGAGGAAACAAGAATACGCTGGACCACCGATAAGAAGACTCTAAAAGATCTGGATTTCGCACGTGGATGCTTCATTTCTAATATCACACAAACCTGGAGACTTACAGGCAGGAGAAATCCAACAAACTGGCAGAAGAGGCTGTCTGAAAGCGTAGACAGGACTCCAGGTGAACATAGAGAAGACGGAGGTGATGAAGATAACAAACAAACAAACCAACCAATAACAACAACAGCAGCAACATCCAGCGCCAATCACCACCCACGGGAGAGATTTGACAGAAGTCACTTCCCAGCTTCACTTATCTGGCCAGGAAGCACTTTTTCAACCACCGGCAGTCAGTCAGAACGGATAAGGATGTCAAAGCCAGTCAGCCAGCTAACCAGAATCGGAGAGGCGAGAAATGCCTTCATCAAGCTGAAACCAGTTTGGAAATCTTCTGCACTCAGCCAGCATAGAGGACAAGATTTGGATTTTCAACAGTTCTTCTATATGTGGGAGGACCTTAGCGCGTGTGTCACGAAAAGTATTTGCAACAGATTACCACAGACATTTATCAACAGACGCCTTCGCTTGCTCCATACTGAAGATCGAATGGCCGGCTGGCCAGTGAGAAATAATTAGCAACAAGAAACTCTGTCTGAGAACAAACAAACAGGCGAGAGACGATTGCTCAACAAATGTGTAGGAGAATATGTAGGTGGATTTGGCATTCACGCCACTATGGAGACCATCGGATTGCATAGCGCACCTCGAATGGAATCCAAATGGGAAGCGACGAGTGGGTCATCCTACAGTGACATAGGGGATAGTGTATGTGAAGGAAGATGACAGAAATTATGGGCAATCGTAGTCCCAGCTGAAGACAATGGCAGACAATAGAATAAAGTGGAGATGTGTTGTTGAAGCCCTATGTTCCACTTGGAACCCAAGGGAATGATAATAGTAATCCCTAATAGGATAATTTCATGACCTCTGAGAAGAGTATTCTTTTGCAGAGACTCTTAGAATTTTGTTCTGCAGTCGTGCATCAGTCTTTTGGGCAAGATCTCGCATCCAACCACTTCTTTGTGCATATATTTACCAGTTCATGTGTTCCTGTGGAGACAAGTATATTGATGGTTAGACGTGTAGGCATCAGATTTGTTTCAGCTATGATCACGGATTGATGTTAGTTAGGAAACCAGGGAGTACAGGACAGCTGTTTCTCTAGCCTAATTTGTGAATCATTGGCAGTGCGCACCCACCTCACTGGGGTTCCAACCCAGCACCTTCCGGTTACAAGGCAAGCTAGCTCACATATACCATTCAGTCATTGGGAGCCGATTCAACGGCCAGCCAGCCAGCGTATGAATTCTAACATCTACCAAAATTCGTGATTTAGCGCAATCCTAACCAGTGGGTGCGTACTGTCGATGATTCTCAAAATGGGCTGACGAAACAGCTGTCCAGTACTCCCTAGCAGGTTTTCGATGGTTCTCTAAATGATATTAATCCGTGATCAACTCGTAAAAATAATAATAATAGTTTGCTTTATTCCAGAAACAGTACTAGTGGTACAATGTGGAATTTTTAGCACATATCTACAATATTTGCATCTAATTTTATCAAACATTTAAAAGGAGTATTTCAAAAAAATAAACATAAAGACAACAACGACAAAAAATGCTAAAAAAATACCAAGAAGTAGAAAGGAAAATAAACAACATATAATAATATCTCAGTATTGGGTAGTGGAAGCTTTGATAGGATTATACATAGTGACAGTAAAGCTACAGTCATACAAGAAGTTATGAAATGATATTTAAGAATGTTTATCGCCAAGAAGATCAGTTAATTTGGTTGAAATAACACTAAACAATCATAAAATAACATTTCAGGGTTGTTGTTTCGTTTTTTATTGTCAGGTCTAATGCAGTGTTTGTAGTGGTAGTGTGAGTAATCCTGCATAATACAAAATTTTAAGATGGTGATAATGGCGTTCACAACCAATGATTGTCAATTAATATTGCCGAAAAAAATAAGAAAAAACAACCACAAAAAGTAATACTTACATGATGGTTAATGACAGGACAATTTCGTAATACCCATAGAGCTAATTTAGTCGGAACTAGTAGATACACAATAGAAGGAATACATTAAAGTACCAAAATTAAGCCAATGTTAATAATTTAGGTAGCTAAGTATGTTTAAGAAGGAGTTCACTATAGAATACAGAATAAGAGAGAAATAAAAGAGCCTAAAATTATGTTATTAACACCAAAACAAGTCCTAGGTTTCGCGCTTGAAATTGTTTTTGTCACTTAGAACACGAGCCAAATATGGTATCGTCGAATTCCTGTACTTGGTTGTACGAGCATATATTATTTTATACTGATTTCTGGTTCTGCTTGATGAGATACAAGGAGAGAGTTGGGAATGGAGGGGGTGTTGGGGGTCGGAGACTATGGTTTCAGACTATTTTTCACATGTATTCAGATGCCTTTCAACTAATGTAGTGACGAGCTGACTGAGTTTTACACCACTAGTCCTACTGACTACCTTCAACATCCCTCTCAGGATGGTATAGTCCTTTTTCAGTAGCCCAGGAAAGACTAACGGAGAGCAGTAAAGTAGAATAGGTAAGATACAAGAGTTGACAAATTGTGAAAGTAGAGGTTGGGTGATGATTCCAGATTGTCTAAGTTTCTTAATGTAGTAGGTCAGACAGAACACTTTCTTAGAAATCATTAGGATATGAGATGTCCAAGTAAGGTCGGAAGATAGAACTAGACCGAGGTATTTAGCATTAGACTTAGTTTCAATTTTAGTCCCCTCAATGCAACAAGCTTCATGAGAACTTATTAGTGTTTGTCGATCTCGTTTATCCCTAAAGGAGAAGTCAATAATCCGACATTTTGAGGGATTCAGCATGAGGCCATTTAGTTTAGACCACTGACTGATGTCCGACAGGAATCTATTTAATTTGAAACAGTCTGACTGAGACTTAACGGGAAGCGAAACAGTCAGGTCATCTGCATATTTGACGAAGTTGATTTCTTCTGAAAGAGGTAAGTCATGTAAGAAGAAGGAAAAGAGAATCGTAGAGAGAACAGCACTCTGAGGAACTCCAGGGTTCTTCAGTAAGCAAAGCATATATTATTATAAACCCTTGCTAATATTTGCATAAGTTATTCACATTACGAGTAAGAAAATATGTCATTTAATTCAATCGACTGAATTCCCTCCCCTGCCCCCCGCCTTTATCCCCTATTCTTCCAAAATAAACTCATATTCACATATGCCTGTATGTATATAGTGTGACACGCCCTGATTGGGATCAGAATTTAATACTACCCTGGATAGACAATTGGTTCATCGGTGTGTGTGCGTGCATGCCGCGCGCGTGCCTATGTCTGTGTGTGTGTTAGACATACACACACATACCTAAACAAACTAATACTTGTCTTATCGGCAGATAAATTTGACCTTGATTGATTTTATTATTATTATTATTATCAAATCAACATATCTGATTTAATTCAAAGCTTTAGTTATTTCTATTGAAACATTGATATTATATAAAACTTAGATAGATAGATTGGCTTTTCAATGTCCAATGGATTAATTCCTTTTTTGTCTGTTTGTTTTAATGAATGAAAAAATGAATGAAATGCAAGAATTAAAATCAGAGTAAGCCAGAATTATTTTATTATTCTTTCTGATATAGATTACAAAAAGTGTATACATAGACAGAAGAATTGAACACACATTAACTAACATATTGATTTGATTAGTATTATTATCATTATTAGTTTATTTTGTTTAAATCAACTGGCAATTTTGGCAATTTTTTAAAATATCTCATGATTTTTCGTGTTGAATACATTCCCAAAATAAGCAATCCTATTACAGAGAAAGAGAATCATCACTAGGCGTGATGTGTGTTATCAATCAACAAATAAGAGATTAAAGTTTGGATGTATGTGTGTACGTGTGTAAGTGTGTGCGTGTGCCTGTGTTTATGAGTGTGATGTGGCGTGCACGAGTAAATGGTTGATTCTTAGAGTACATGTATATTTATATATATATGCATATTTTTCTGCATGGAATCTTTCAATTTCACGTGTATTTATGAACATTGTGTGTGTGTCTGAGTGTGTCTTAGTGTATCTGCATGTGCATGTATGTGCATATGTGTGTGTATGTGTAGCAGAGACCATCAGATGACAAACTCCACTTCATCTTCGTCATCATCAGCAACGCCATCGACGTCAACGTGTTGTTCTTCATTCATTCATTCATTCAAGAATATATAAATCATTATAATTTCATGATATTTCTGCATTGAAACACGAAAATAAAAGAGAAATATGTCGCTGCGACGAAATATGTCTTCACTACAGAGTATTCCATTTATAGTACTATTCTTCTATTCCTTTTTCAACGTCGGACAACAACATTCAGTTCAAGCGACAAGTGAACACAACACCTCGAACACTGATGATATTGCTATTGCTAAATGGAAATTTCATGAATTCTCTATGCATATCACTGTAATGCTTTTTCTATTCATCTTAATTCTAATCAAAATCGCTTATCATCATATCCCGTATATATCAGATTATGTTCCAGAATCACTAGTATTGATTATTATCGGTATCACCTTCGGTGGGATTGTTATTTATGAAATTGAAGAAAAGACTGGATTAATAGATCCTAAGGTGTGGAAATTCACCCCGGAATTATTCTCCTATTATCTACTACCACCGATTATCTTAGAGTCAGCGTATAACCTGTACAACAGAACATTCTCTGAATATCTCGGTGTTGTATTATTGTTTTCTGTGCTGGGTACAGTGTTCAACTTTCTGATTATCGGTTTCTCTATGTATATACTATTCGCTGCCGGTCTGCTAGGCTATCCAGTGTTACATTTCGATGTGAAAGGCTTCCTACTGTTCAGTTCGCTGATTGTCGCTGTAGATCCTGTTGCTGTGCTGGCCATCTTTCAAGATATTGGCGTGGAGTTAAGCCTGTATTATATTGTCTTTGGTGAATCACTGTTCAATGATGCAATCACTATTGTCCTTTATGATATTATGGTAGCTTTCACGGGAAAAGAAGAAATCACTGGTCATCAAGTCTTTATTGGTATTTTATCCTTTTTCACTGTAAGTTTCGGCGGTCTGATTATCGGTGTCCTGTTCGGTGTGTTGACATGTGTAGTGACACGGGTACGTAGTCATTTAACTGTCTTCACTATGCTTTTACTTGCTTATTTCTCTTACATTATGGCTGATTGTGTTGGTTGGTCTGGGATCATATCAATGATTGGCTGTGGATTAGTACAGGCTGCTTATGCATTTCATAATATCGGTGAAAAACACGTGAAAAGTGTTCATTTATTCACGAAAATGTTATCCGAAGTCAGTGAAGCTGTCATCTTTCTATTCTTAGGCATACAAGTTGTTTCATATAAACTTGAATGGCATACTGGTTTTATTCTATGGGGACTGATACTATGCCTGGTGTCCAGGTCAATAGTTATATTTAGTATTACAGCTATAGTGAATTATGTAAATATTGATGAGACAAAAATTACACTAGCTCAACAAATTGTTCTCATCTACGGTGGTCTACGTGGTGCTGTCGCATTCGCCTTGGCTGTACTCATCTCAGAGAATAAATTCCCAATCAACGGAGAGTATCATAAGAATGTGATTGTCACTGCAACACTGTTTATCATTTTATTCACAGTTGGATTTATGGGAATGACAACAAAACCATTGGTGAAATTATTAAAAATACGTAAACGTGATAAACAAACTTTGAGTTTATTCACTATACTGAATAAAAGTATTATCGATCAAACATTGACAGGTATCGAGACACTGACTGGATCTAGAGGTCGTAATGCTGTTCGTGGGTTTTTTATGCGTATTGATGAAAAGTACATTCGACGTTTATTACAACGTAATCCTGAACGTTATGATGAAAAAATATTGAAAGTCTATGAGCATATTGCTTTAAAATTATTATATGCTTCAATGCGTCCTCAAGATACGGAGAATATTTTAAAAAAGATACCTGAAGGTTTGAAGTTGAATCAAAGCCATTATCCATACGATCAACAAGAGCAACAGCTTCAGCAGCAGTTGCAGCTGCAGTTTCTTAATTATCAACAACTAAATCATGACACAAGCAGTAATACAGTCAATGCATTGAGTGGTGTTACACAAGAATGGATTAATCGAACAAACATGTATATTGTACCACCAGCAGATGACTTCTATCCACACGATTATCAACATTATCAACATCCTGTGGATAATATGCCCAGGGATGATTCTTTTCTGTCAGCTGGACAAATGATGATGAATAGTTTAGGCGGGAGTGGAATACACTATCCAAAAATATCGTTTCACTTGACCGATGCTTCACTTGATCGTCTTGGTGAATACTCCCTGGCCAGACCAAAACAACAAATTGATTTTAATGAAGCCTTTACCGATTTATTACATGCTCGGAGTGAAAATGCGCTGAGTCAAGCTAAACACAATTTGAAAGTTAACGCAGGTGATGATGATGATGATATTGGCGGCACCGGCGGCACCGGTGGTGGCGGCGACAAGGATGTTAAAATTCATTCTAAAGAAGGAATACACAAGAAGGATAATCAGTTACGTGACGAAGATAAACATCAGTCTAAACAATTAACAGATGAAAATAAGGTTAAGACAAAAGGGAACAGCCTTCAGAAAACTGGAACAAATGTGCAGCAATCCTCAAATCCACCCGCTGATATAGAGATGCACACAATCCATCCAACAGAATCAGTAGACTCTCGAATAAAAGATCTTCGGAAGCATGAATTAAAAGACGTCGATAAAGATGTTTAACTGTAATCATAACTGATGTCTTTCATTATCATGAACATCAATGTAATTACTACTTTTTTTATTACTATTTTTTATGTTGTGTAAAAAAATAAAGATTGTACAGATCAAATTGTTAGTGGTCTTCAGCTTTCAGTAAGTGTGGCGACTGTTGAACACTGGTTGTATATGGTAAAAATAATTATTTATGAAAGTATCAACCATAAAAGCAACTTTATAGAAACAGTGTCTGTGTACCAGTGACAGGTCCTTCAACTGTTTCACTTGTTAAATAACGATTGTACGGTCTGCCCAAAGTACATAAACCAGGACTTCCTCTTTGCCCAGTCCTAGATATGTCTAATTCCACCTACCATGGAGTGGCAAAGCCGTTAGGTGAACTCCTCTAACCATTATACAACATGGTAGTAAATCATAGTGTTAAAGACGTTTTTGAATTCATTGCTAACATAGATGATGATGTGCGTCGGTGGCACAGTGGTTAGGACTCTCGCCGACCATGCACATGGTCCGGGGTTCGATCCCCTGCCGACACACACCCGATATCTATGGTCGGCCTGCAAAATTTGGGCTACCGATATCCATGCTGAAAATTCCATATTTGTACTGAAAATACGGTGTGGCATCAAGCTGTAACCAAAATTAAAAAAAATTAAATTAAAAATTAATTTAAGTGGGAAGCAAATGCTATCCTTAGATGTAGCATCACTGTTCACTAATGTACCACTTATGGAGACTGTGTAATTCATATGCCAGCAGATACTAGAGAAGCAGTTCAACATCGGAATTCCAGTTATTAGTCTGAAAAGTTGCTTTTAGGATATACCATGAATGTACACTTCACAAGAATGAACTGTTAATAAGATTTAATGATGCACATCCATTGCTCATCTTCACTTGTGAAGAAGAACATAATGGTAGACTACATTTCCTTGACGTCCAATTGAGCAGAAGAGAGGATGGTTCACTCAAGAGAGATGTCTATAGAAAACCTACATTTGTAGGACAATATACACATTTCCTCATTTTTGTACCAATCCGATACAAAGTCAATTTAGTTAGATGCTTCACGAATAGAGCAAGACGTATCTGTACAGATGACTCCCTAGAAAATGAGTTAGGATACATCCCAAATACGCTGGTCCAAATGGATTATCCTAGTAGATTTGTAAGGAGATACATGAATACCAAGTACAATAAAGAGAAACTGACAACAGTTGAAAAGAAACAACTGTTCATGAAATTGCAATTAAATGGGGACGTGGCTAGCGAAATCTTACATCTGAGATTATCGAGAGCGACAAAACGGATTTATAAAGCCGCCAGCCTTTGTTTGTCATTTTCAAGCCGACCATTTATGACTCCTGAAGCAAAAGACAAGCTACCTAGCTGTGCTACTTCTATGTGTATCTGTGGAGAGAGCTATATAGGGCGAACAACTAGACAGCTTAACAAACGCATTAATGAGCATCTTCCTTCATGGTTCGGAAAACGACAAATAAAATCTATAAGAAGTTCTATCTTGGCTCATTTGATTGATAGTGGTCACCAAGTGGACAAAAATAGTGCCTTCAAAGTTATCTATCGCATTCCATCGAGCCTTTCGAACGGAATTTGAACCCACCTTTTACACATAACCGAAGTTATGGGAATTAATTCGAGACAACAATCTTAGTCTTTGCATACACCATAAAAAGTTTGTTCTGCCTTTGTCTCTTCCTAGGTGAATTCTATTCAAAAGCTTCCCACCATTCTCTTATTTTCCATCTCCTTCGTACTTTTATGACATTTATTATTTAAACTCTGATTATCTGTCCACTTCACCTACCTTTAGTATTACGTAACTTTTAAGATTTGACCGAATTTATTTATTGAATTGTCTACATATACACATATTACTACATTTGTTATTCTTATCACCTGCATAAACCTTATTATCAATATTTTGTTATGATTATATTCATGGTTATTAACATTTACCATATTATTATTATTATTTGGTCCATAAAATCACAGTCATTGGTTAAAATTTTTATTTATAAATCTATGTAAATTAGGGTAAAACCTGAAGAAGATCTAATTGAAAACAGTAATATTGTTCGCTTATATGCCTTCTTCAAATAACGATGTAAAAATTTGAAAAGAGATGTGGCGTGAAAGCTGTCAAAGTCAGTGCTTAAGTTAAGAAAAGCATTATCACGAGTTAAAATAGCTAAGCGGTTGTCATGGATTTGAAGTTACAGATGCACCTTGCTGAAGACTACCGTCAACATGCGTTAAACCTTGACTCAGAGCTTTCTACCACCTTCTTTCAATTGTCTAACCACATTGGAGGGTCCCCTAGCTTGTTGAAAACCCTATGGGTAAAATTTATTTTGATAAAGTCTCACAGTGTTATACAGTTAAATTTATTGATGACCACGTTTCGAGCACAATTTATTGTCACTCAAGGCACTACTCACACAATTTCCTAACTTCGTTTATATAATTCCATTATTTTCCATCGCTTGATTTGATTAGTAGTAGGATTTTCCATATTTCCGGTATCAATGATGAGTCATTCCCATTGCATGTGTTGGGTGTAGATTCAATGAACAAGGATTCAGTAACCAATCTCTCTCTATCTCCACCTACCTAGATTACTTCTTAGAATTTTAACGCTCTCCCAACCTATTGTGTGGCTGTGTGCTAATGCATGCAGTGCAATTCATTGCTCAGTTCTTTTCTTTTCTAAATTGCTCATCTTCGCGGGTGGGATCAATCATTCTAACCTTAGCTAAATTCTTATGTTCTGATAATCTGACTACTCCCGATCTACTAGTTTGACCTATGCAGTTGACCTAACTCACAGTCATTGCAAGGTATTTTTTGAATTATATTATTTTGTTTAACTGGGTTAACCTACAGCGTCCTTTAGGTTACACAGCTTGTCCTACCTGAGTGAGTTTGTAGGTTTAAATGCCACTCTAATTCCTGCTTTGTTCAGAATCCTACATAGGGTCCCCTCCTTATATGGTACAACAGTAGATGCCTTATATTCTCTCTTATTTATGTTATCATTATTAGTTTCACCACTATTTTTATTTTGCTTTTGGCCTTTACTGATCTTCCTGATGAATTTTATAGGATAGTTATTTATTTAACACCAACACTTTTTTTGGCCTGTTTAAGCTAATCATTTAGGTCTTTTCTTGTACTACTTAGTGCTACTGCTCCGTTTGTTAGACACTTAACTAAGCCTGTCTTAACAGTTAACGGATGAGATGCGTTGTTGAAAACACTGCAAACTTGACTGATAGAACTGAGGTAAACCTAACAAGGGGGGGACCAGACGTACGATATTCAATGTATGACATGCGCCGTTTTCGAGTGAATTACGCTTAAAAAAACCCGAAGAAATCCGAAGAAATAAGAATATTCACTTTGAATCTATTCTGATGTCGAGTAATCTTCCAAATAACAAACAATGGCTAGAGAAGAAAAGCTTATTCAGCGCTGTTTCTGTACACTACTGATTTTACAAATCTGGTGTAAAATTTCTAGAAATTTATCGTCTCACAAACCTTTTCTCAGGTGTTCATGAATTATTCACAGTTCAGGTGAGAAATCGTGCCCATTAATGACAGTTAATAATGCTTCTAAATAGGGATTGCACTATTTTGTAAGATCACTGCAATTGAAAGAATCAGAATTATCCATACCCTCTGGATGACATTTCGAACAAACTTTATTGTTCATAATCATATCATCAATTATTATCACACGACTTTGAGACTTGAGTTCTACAGTTTTCTTTGTTTTACTCCTATTTATCTTAGGGGACAGGTTTTGAATCATTCCTGCTACATGTATTTGCAGTCGATTCGGCAAACAAAGCTTCTGTTATCAATCTCTCCCTCCACCCTGTGACATTAGATTCTACAACTGTCATCCTATCCCATCCTATTGTATGGTTAGTGGTGTGTAACTGCATGTAGCGCTATAGCTGAACTATTCTCTAGATTTCTTATCTTATTTGGATCAACCAATCTAGATTTTGCTAAGTTTTTATGTTCAGCTAGTCTGACTGCACCTGTTCTACTAGTTTGACCTATGTATTTGACCTGACAATCATTCAGGCAAGGTTTTAGATAAACTAAATTGTTTTGTTTTAAAGGCTCCACAGGATCCTTTAACTGACAAAACTTGTTTCTAATTGAGTTTGTGAGTTTGTATGTCAGGCACTTTTATTCCTTATTCCTTATTATTATTATTCCTTATTATTTTTTGAAGGAATGTATCCAGACTAATATTTATCCTCGGACTTTTATTCCTGCCTTGTTAAGAATTCTGCGAATGCTTCCACGGTTCCTTCCTTGTATGGAATTACTGCTGATGATTTAGATTCCTTATTGTTGGTGTCGTCATTAATATTATTATTATCACTATTATTATTGTCGTTATTATCACTATCGCTACTATCATTATTTATTTTATTTTTGCATTTCCTTACATATTTCCTGACTAATTTGTCCGGGTAATTATTAAGTTTCAAGGCTTCTTTTATGTGTATCAGTTCCTGTTTTAGATTTTCTTTGATACTACTTAGTTTTTGTGCTCTATTATTTAAACATTTCACCAATCCTATTTTTACTGACATAGGATGGGATGATCGGAAGTCCAAATATCTGTTTGAGTGTGTGGGTTTCCTGTAAACGCTAGTGTTTAACTTCCCATCTTCTTTCCTCTTTACGTTGCAATCTAACATTGTGAGCTCCCCTTCCTGATTTTCCGATCCATAAGTGAATTGAATTGCTTTAACCTCCTAGTTAATGTGTTCGAAATGTGTGTTACACACAACCATACACTAGGATGGGATAGGGTGACAGTGGTAAAATCGAATGTCACAGGGTATAGGGAGAGATTGATAACAGAAGCTTTGTTTATCGAATCAACTACTAATACATGCAATAGGAATGATTCATCACCTGTCCCAGATATCTGGAAAATTCTACTACCCCTAC